GGAGCGGGTACTTGGGCTGGGGGAGTTCACCAGTGCTATGAGGACTGGATTACTTGGTCGGTTTTGGTGGTTGGCTTCCAGTTTTCAGCACGAATTACTGGCAGACAGACCTGCCCCTTTCCATCGATGTTCGGATGATAGATCTTTGTTTTAAATGTGATCTTCGGTGGTTTGGATGGGTACTCTGCTGGAAAGTCAATTTCAATTCTGAAGGCCCGCTTGTCATATGGAGGGTTGTCCTTCATCAGCCTCCTGCTGGCCACCATCTTGGATCTGGTGCTACTCAAGGGCTATCCTTTTAACCACTACAAATCTTTGGAATTACAGTTTTTATGAGCTGTTGTGGAGAGTGCACTGAATCAGAAGTCAGCAAATCTGGGTTCCTCGTCTCAGTTCTGCCATTGGTTCCATGTCCGCTCTCAGCTTCAGTTTATCTCTACAGGCGTGATAGTACCGGCCTCTCCCCTGGGATATGTGAAGATCAGATGGGGTAATCTCTGGTTATAAAAGTTGTCCTAAATCTTATATATACCACAAAAACATGAGGTGGTGATGTGGTTTCTGAACTCCTTGGCCAGGCACAAGCTAGGAATTACGGAGTTACCTGGACTCGTGTTAAGGAAGCCGTAGCCTTTGCATGCATGCCTTTATAGCTGGGGCACATGCATGAAGTCTACTTCTGACTAAATGAAACTAAATAATTGATTTCGTCAAAGGCCTGTGTGATAACACAGATATGTAGCCACTTTTTCCTGCCATGTGAGGGCGAAATGTCTGGCAGCAGGCCATTTGTGGGAGCCTCGGCATCTGTCCTGTTAGGTACCCCCCAGGGCTCTGGGCCCTGTTATGTCCTCATTTGCATTCAGAGTACGTGTTTTGTTGTTGTTGTCGTTTTGCCATAGAACCCCTGCACTCACCAGAGATAGAGGGAAAGTGAGAAATCATCCCCCAGGGGATGGCCACACCACAATCCTTTCTCCTCCTGGGATTTTTGGGCATACACACACATACCCAGCGTGATTTTCTACTGCCGGGTCCAGAACTCGAACCATGGTTGGCCATGTGGGAGTCCAGCACCTTCACCACCACTCAACCCACAGGCCCCCAGAGCACATTCGCTTAATCAGCCTAGATTACCCTTCCCCAGACGTCCCTGTGCCTTCTCACGCCTCTGCATTGAGGTCTCAGGCAAGTCAGGTCATTCTGAATGTTCTCTGTAAAAATGGCTGTTAAATTCTAGCCTCCTCACTCTGCGATTTCAGTCTGCTTTGTTTTCTTTGTGACACTCATCACTACCTGATATCGTGACACAGGCTTTTGTCTATCAATTTGTTTTCCTCCTGCACAGCTGGCACCTAAGCTCCATGCTGGGGACCTTGTCTGTTTTCTTTACCGTTATAGTCTTGGCCCCAAACTCGGTGCCACACACATTGTAGGTCCCCAGGGAACACTCAACAAATAGGTCAATGAGCGAATTTAACATGTAGGCTCTAGTGACAGTGCTATACCAGCGCTCTCTCCTCTGTAAACTTGGCGTGAAAGTGTGCACATGAGCAAATATGTGAACTTGGACTCTGGGCCCTACCATTTTGCAAAAAAGAGTTGGGCCCTACTCTTTGGCCTGGTGGTTAAGGCAGCCAGATCTCACATGGCCAACTGTGGGTTGGAGTCCTGAACCCGGTGGCTTGAGAAACAGGCTGTGTGCGTGCTTATGTGTGTATGTGTGTATGTCCAAAAGAAGGGAGAGATGGAGAAGAAGAGACTGTGGTGTGACCATTCCCCATGAATGTTGGGGAGTGCTTTATCCTTTCCCTGTCTGGCAAGTGCTTATACCCTCTAGCAAAAAAAAAAAAATTTTTTTTAATATTTAAAAAGATTAGTCCCAGGACCAGCAAATGGCATAATGGCTTCATCACTGGATTCCCCTGTAGTCGACAGCAGTTCGAGTCCCAGACCCGCTGGCTTAAGCTCATGCTGTGTACATGTGCGTGCTTGCCCAAGATCCCGAGAGGAGAATGGAGGAGAAGGGATTGTGATGTGGCCATCCCCCCCTGGGGGGTGATTTCTCGCTTTCTGTCTCTCTGTCTTTCTGGCGAGCACATGTGCCCTATAGCAAAAACCTTTCCAAAAAAAGATTAGTCCCACCCAATATCTGCTCTTCAAATTTTTTCTTTTAGGTCTAGACATTTTTGTCCTGGAGAGAGGACTTAATTTGAAGTCAAAGGCTTGCTCTCACATCCTGTCTGTACCATTGCCAACTGTACTGAAAAAGTCCCTAACTGCCCACCTCTTGATTTTCTCATCTCTACAGTGGGCATAATGCTTGCTCTGCCTGTCTTAAGCTTTCCATTTACTACAAAGACCAAATGAAATTACTTTTTTTTTTTTTTTTTTGGAGAGATTTTTGCTATAGGGCTCTTGCGCTTGCCAGACAGACAGAGACATAGAGACAGAAAGCGAGAAATCACCCCCCAGGGGGGATGGTCATGCCGCAATCCCTTCTCCTCCATTCTCCTCTCGGGATCTTGGGCATGCATGCACACGTGCCTGGCGTGAGTTTTAAGCCACCATGTCCGGGAATCAAACCGCGGTCGACTATGTCGGAGTCCAGCGACATAGCCACTACACTAACTGCTGGTTCCCAAAATGAAATTACTTTCTCTCCCACGCTCCATTGGAGTCTGAACTCTTCTGGCAGTTCTCCCCGGCCACTCTCCTCTCTTGCAAGTTGAGAGCTTTGATCCTTATCTTTCTGTCTAACCATAGAGATCCAGAAGGCATAGATCCGTTACAGAGAGTTAACCCAACATTGGCTTCCAAGTCTTCCCAGGTCCCGACTGAAGGGCATTCACGAGAGGACAAGGCAGCCTCTTTTCCATCACGGCCACATTACTGCCTCAGTCACTTGATCGTCAGCTGTGGTAGCCGGTACCCCTCCCTTCCACCTGCAAAGCTGATGAAACAGGACAGGGAGAAGACTATCCGACAGAGGGAAGGTAGGGTTCTCCACAACAAGGCCTAGGATAAGGACTTCATTGTCTAGGAGGAAAAAAAAACTATCGAAAGCTTCTGAAAACAGGTATGTTCATCCCAAATGAACTTATTAGCCCGAAAGAGAACAAAAAAGAAATCTCTTCCTCACATAATGGTAGCGATGGAAAACAAAATGGGTCAAGTGACTGGGGGATTCAGGTGGGCACGCTGATAGATCTTTGCAGGATCCCTCCAGGACCCTGCAGTGTGGAGGGATCCAGTGTAGCATCAGGATCCAGGGTCGTGCCAAGGAGTCCTGTCAGCAGTGACCTCATTTCAGAGTCCGTCCCGGGTCATTTTAGGATGGCTCTGAGGCAAGGCTGTGGGTGTGGGGCTGCATACCAAGCTCTCCCTAAGTTGCCTACATTATGATTTAGAAGCTGTCATTTGCCCTTTTCCCTCCTCAGATCTCTGTTTCCCTTACTTTCCTGTCTGTGATTTCTAAGATGCCCGTGGTGTTAATGCCTCGGTGGTGGTTTACTTAGCTTCCTCTTTCATCTTATTGATCGGTGCTTAAAGACGCACAGGCTTTAAGGCTCTGGAATGAGTAAAGATGAGGTCCAGCATCAGGAATCTGAAGCAAAGGCATTCGTGGTTTAAGGATGTATAAATAGTGTTTGTGATTTTCTCTTGAGTTTGGGGGATGCATAATGGTTAAGATTTTGGTTTTAAAAAGCTGACTTTTAGAGAAGTAGGCTTCAGTTCTGGTATGTTATTTAAATTTTTCATACAAATTCAGGGTTGTTTTTTTTTTTTTAGTGGCTTTTTTTTTTTTTTAGAGAGAGGTTTTTGCTATAGGGCACGTGTGCTGGCCAGACAGAGAGAGACAGAGAGACAGAAAGTGAGAAATCACTCCCCAGGGGGGATGGCCATGCCGCAATCCCTTCTCCTCCATTCTTCTCTCGGGATCTTGGGCACACACGCACACGCACCCGGCACCGGGTCTGGGAAGCGAACCACAGTCAACTACATGGGAGTCCAGCGACATCGCCATTACGCTAACTGCTGGTCCTTTTAGTGGCTTTTGACTTAGGGCACATGTGCGCCAGAGAGAAGAGAGACAAAGACAGTGGAAGGGAAAGTGAGAAATCAACCCCTAGGGGGATGGTCATGCCTCAGTCCTTTCTCCTCCATTCTCCTCCCAGGACCTTAGGAACACATGCACACACACCCAGTGTGATTTTCAAGCCATCAGGTTGAGGACTTGAACCATGGTCAGCCATGTGAGAGTCCAGTGACATAACTGCTATACCATCTGCTGGTCCAAGGTATATTTATTTATTTTTAAGAATGTTTTTTTTTAACTTTATTTATTATTATTATTTTCCAGTTTGATTGAAAAGAGACAGAGAAAGAAAGAGAGGGAAAGTGAGAAAGCAAGCCACCAGGTCCAGAACTCGAACCACCTTCGGCCATATAGGGGTCCTGCGCCTTTAACCACCACGCCACCTGTCAGGCTTGGCATATTAATTTTTTTAAAAAAAGAAGAAAACACCAGTAACCAAACAAAAAATCACACGCTAGACTCATGTACATGTATGGATGCCAAAAATCCCGAGAGGAGAAATGGAGGAAAAGGAATTGCAACGTGGCCACCCCCAGGAAGTGATTCTCTCTCTCTCCCTCTTCCTCTCTCTCTTTCTCTCTCTCATGCATGCTCCCTATAGCAAACTAAAAACAAACAAACAAGATCAAATGTGACTGCTGAAGGAGACAGATGCCATCCAGATGTTGAAGGCTGTAGCTGCCACTCCAAGTTCCTGTTCCATTCAGCCCGTGAACATCCCAGAGGCACAAGTGTGACGTTCGGAGCCATGCGTGTTATGTCTCGCCTCAGTCTTTTTCTTTTGTTTAATTGGAAGAGAGAATGCCCGGGTGCAGCAGGACAGTGGGTCCTTGTGTATATACAGCTGTGATGTGGTACTTCCTAGATTCATTAAGGGCCATGGCTTCTTTGGGTTCCCCAGTCTAGAGAAGAAGACAGGAACCAGGATGGGAAGATGGACGTGCTACGTTTCAGACTGGAGCTTCCCCTGCAGTCCACGGAGCACGTCCTCGGCGTGCAGCTGATCTTGACTTTCTCCTACCAGTTGCACGTGAGTCAGTCCCGGAGGGAGGCCCATCCTCTCCCTTTTGTCTTTTAGCAAAACAGAGCCCTCTTTCTGGTTTCCAGGAAACCCACACTGTAGGAGTCTCTTTTCTAGGATATAATGGGGGATTTAACTCAGGCAAATCAGATTTTTTTCACAAGGGCAATATTAACGTAGATGAATTAATAGCTCAGAAAGGGCCCAGGCCCACAAGGCAGGGGTTAAATGCTGTTCAGAAGAAGCCAGACCCCACGTGGCTGACCAGGGTTGGAGCCCCCACCCCCACCCCACTCCCCTCAGCAACTACTGGGCACGGATCCTGGCGGGATGGAGAATTAAAGGAAAAAAGTACTGTGACATGACCAGGCCGCATTAGGAGGTGCGGTCTCACGCTCTCTCACTCTTCCTCTTTTAGATATGTATGTGCCCTCTGCCATTAAAAAAAATAATAGTTGCTTAGAGAGTTTGGATGGTGTGCTTCCTGCCTGACCAAACCAGGTATCAGAGGGCCCATTCACCACAGACGTAACTGCTAGATTAGAACCCAGAGCCTTGCAGACTTAAGGGCAGACTTATTGTCTCTCCTGATGATTCCAGAGGATGTCAACATTCGTGATGCAAAGCATGGCGTTTCTCCAGTCCTCCTTTGCTGTTCCCGGGGCCCGGTTATATGTGAACGGAGACCTGAGGCTACAGCAGAAGCAGCCTCTAAGCTACAGGGGCCTGGACGTCCGGTACAACGTAAGGGCACTTCCTGCCGTCCCTCTCCTTTATCCTGTGCGCTGTTTTCCGCGTTATCTGAGGAAGGGGAAATGATAGTAATTACAGCTTTTCTCTAGATGAGGGCTTTTGAGGAATTCTTGCTATGAGTCCTTTCAAAATACTGAGAAGTGTTTACATCTAGAAGGAATGTCTAGGTCTTTGACTTTATCAAATAACTCATCTGTTTATTGTTTTTGGATACACACACACACACGCAGTATATTCCAAGTGGTCATGCAAAATGTTCATATTCAGCATTTCAGCATTTCCTGCCAGCCCCTATCTCTTTTTATTTCTACAACTAAAAGAGATTTTAAAAAATTAGCCTCAGGGTGGGCAGGTGGTGTGGTGGTTAAGACGCTGGACTACCACATGTCTGACCCCGGTTTGAGTCATGGACCCAGTGGTAGCTTGAAAATCACATTGGGTGCATGTGTGCCCGAAGTCCTGAGAAGAGAATGGTAGAGAAGGGACTGCACTGTGGCCATTCCCCCAAGGGGTGATTTCTCACTTTCCTCTTTATAACACTCTTTGTCTCTGAGTAAGTGCACATACCCTGTAGCAAAAAATAAAAACAATAACAACTCCCCCCCCCAAAAAAAAGACTAGCTTCTAGAAAAAAGGAAGAAGAAGAGAAAACAGTTGGAAATATGGTCTACTTTAAAAATTAAAGGAACTGGCCAGCAGGTGGCTTGCTGGTTAAGGTGCTGGACTTCCACATGGCAGACCATGGTTCGGTTCCAAACCCAGCAGCTTGAAAATCACACTGGCATGTGTGCATTTGTGCCCAAAATCCGGAGAGGAGAATGGAGAAGAAAGGATTCTGGCAGGGCCATCACCCCTGTGAGGTGATTTCTCACTTTGCCTCTCTTTTGTGAGCACACTCACCACATAAGGGGGGAAAAAAAAGCAATTATTTCTCCCATTGGAACAGAAGTGGGTATTTTATAAATAGTTTAAAGTCTTTCACCTGGGAGAGTGATAAACACACCAGGCTTGTGCCCATGCTTACATGCCTATCCCAAATCCCATGGGATACAGAAATGAAGAAGGGATTGTAGTGTGGCCACACTCCACTGGGGAATGCTTTCTTCCCCTCCCTCTTTTTGTCTCTCTGATGAACACACATACCCTCTGGTATAATAAAAACTCTTTATTACTACTGTTAATTAATTTATTTTAGAGGTTTTTTTAAAGAGGTTTTTGCCTTACGGCACATGTGCTCACCCAAGAGAGATAGACAGAGACAGTAAGAGGGAGAGTGAAAAATCACCCCCCAGGGTGGGTGGATGGCCATATCGTGGTCCCTTCTCATCCATTCTCCTCTTGAGATCTTGGACACACACACACATATGCACCCAGTGTGAGTTTCAAGTCACCGGGTCTAGGACTCGAACTGCAGTTGGCCTTGTTGCAGTCCAGTGACGTAACCACTATGCCATCTTCTGTCCCCAATAAAAACTCTTTAAAAGGTGGATATTAACCTCTTGTTTCCTTCCTCACAAAGGGAAGGAAATGGAGAGTAAATGGACTTAAGTTGTTGCAAGAGAGTTTATTCATTCTTGAAGATTACTGATTCCAGAGTAGGCCACCAAGAACAAAAGGGAGGTCCTTGGGACAGCCTGGGGGGCAGGCGCATAGGCAGAAGACAGAGAAGCCTCCTGGGTGCTCCTGGGTGCTCACACCGTGACTCCGGCTGTCTCCCAGGTGTCTGTGATCGATGGGACCAGCCCTTTTGCCCAGGACTACGACCTCACGCGCATTGTTGCAGCCTACGAGGAAAGGAATGGTGAGTCCCGGCTAAGGTCATTCCGCTGCTGCTCAAGGACTGTCCTGGCCAGCAGGGACAGTGAGGGCAAGTGGCCTGGAACCCTTGTCATGATGAAAACACTAAAACAAGTGAATGCTCCGTGATGGGAGGCAAATGCGTACTCAGGATTTGTCCCTTTTGTCTGTACCCCCTACCCGCCCAGTACTCCTGTCCAGCTAGTTAGTGATTACTAGCTGCCATATTTATTTCAGCACTGGCTTGCCGGGTTTCCTTTTCTTTGGTTCTCCTGATACAAGCCCAATTGAATCATCTTTCATCCCACACCTTTTAAAGGAGCCACAGACAAGTTACTATTCACCTTTTTCCATCAGAAATAGAGAATGTGGCCCAACAGCAGCAGTTCCTCCTGGTTGATACTGCTAGGCTGCAGGCTGGGGCACGGAAGGCCTGGACTTAGTTTCTGGACTACTCTAAAAGTCAGGCTCAGTGGCGTGTGCCTGGAGCCCCAGCTACTCAGGAGGCTGAGGCTAGAGACACAGCGAGACCCTGTCTTTAAAAAAAATATAGAAAGAAATAGGGACGGAGAGTGGTTCACCTCATACTGTCAGTTCTGCAGGAGAACAGAAAGGCCAGGGTTCGGTCTGGAGGGCAGAGTGTTCATTTCTTGCAGAGGAGGCTCTTGGGCCATCTGTCTGCTGAACTCAGCATGTTTGGCTGGTCAGTGGTCTGAGGTATTCTCTAAAGGCATCAAAAGTGTTACTTGGCCATCAGGCATTTTGGATACTGTCCATGGACATTTTGCATGTGGGGAGCAGCAATTCCAGTATTTCTTACTGATTTTATGTAATACACTAGCAGAGCTATTGCACTAGTAAAGATAAATGTTAAAGCTAAAAAACATAAGCTAAAAAGGTAACCTTGAGCCAGTAGGTGGAGCAGAGTTAAGGCCGCTGGATCGCCTGTGGCCAACTGCACTGTTTGAGTCCTGGACCTAGTGTCTTGAGAAATATGTAGGCACATGTGCCTGCAGGCCTAAAATCCTGAGAGGAGTAATGGAGAAGAAGAAATTGTGGTGTGGCCATGGGAATGGGGGATTTTCTCACTCTCCACTTCTCTGTCTCTCTCCACTGAGTGTACATGCCCAGAGCAAACGAAAATTAATTAATTAAATTTAGTGGTAACCTTTTCTCAATACTTTCATTCCTTATACATATGCAGATTTTTTATGCCACAGATTTTTTTATGCATGCTGGAGAGAGAAAGAAGGAGAGGAGATGGGAGAAAAGAGAAGAAAAGGGAGAGAGGGAAGAGGAGAAAGAAGGTATTCCCCTCAAAGGGCCTGGTCATCCCCAAATTCTTTTTCCTACAATTCTTCATCCTGTCAGGATCCTGGGCCGATGCTTATGTGCCGCATGTGTTATTTTCAAGCTGCAGGGCCAGGACTCAAATCCTGCTGGCCATGTGGATTCTGGCTCGTTCTGTACAGTGCTTAATCACTGGCCCTGCATATGCAGATTTTTTTATACAGCTATTATCATAGTGTAAAAATACAGTCCAAATTATTTATTTAACTCTGTAATATTAATATTTCCACATACTGCTACAAATTTCTAATTTAAATTAGTTTTAGTGGAAGCATAGTATCCCTTCAGGTGGCCAGTCAGCAGTTTTAGAACACAGTTTCCAAGATTTGTTTTATTTGCAGACAGGTTCTTACAGTGTTTCCATAATTCTGCCCCAGTCTCTCAGCTAGAACTCTAGGCACATGCCACCAGGCCTGGCTTTTTCCGACACGTTTTACCATGTTGCCCAGGCCAGACTCAAGCTCACCATCCTCCTGCCTCAGCCTCCCCAGTTGCTAGGCTTATTGTAAAGATAACAGAGTTATACCATGGGACCTGGCCTTTAAGTTGGGCCTGGCATCAAACTTGGGCCTCCCATACACAGAGTGTCTTAGTGGCTTGATCTGCAGAGGCTTGGCCATGTTTCCAGGCTGGCTTTTTTTTTTTTTTTTTTAGAATTTTTTTTTTTAATTTTTTTTCTTTTTGTTTTCAGAGGGTTTGGCATTTTTTCAGGTTTGCTTTTTTTTTTTTTTTTTTTAAGAATTATTTTATTTAACTTTATTTACTTTCTTTTTTTTTTTTTAATTTGACCAGAGAGAGACAGAGAGAGAGAGAATGTGAGAAAGCAAACTGCCAGGTCTGGGACTTGAACCGTGGTCAGCCATGTGGGAATCCAGCATCCTTAACCACCACACCACCTGCCAGCCCTGTCCAGGTTGTTGATGTATTTTTACAAAAATATTTCGACTATTTTAACATAATATTTGAGCAACTTTACACATGCAATTTCTCTTTCCTTTTAAATCATTTGAGTTTTGAAATACAAAGCAGGACTCTAAGAATGTTTTTTAGCTCTTCTTCAGCAAAGGGCCACCCTGGGTTAATGGCCAATGATTGTCTTGCAGTCACCACCATCCTGAGTGGCCCCACTCCCATCTGGCTGGGGGGTAGGGCCGCTGAAGCTCCATTTGTGATTGATGCTGTCATCCGGTACCCCGTGGAAGTCATTTCATATCCTTTCTGTGAGAGAGCCGATGGGAGCTCAGTTTCCAAAAAGAGAGAAGGGTACCTCAGTTGTCCCGACTAGAAACGGGGAGAGTCTCCGCTGCACATGGCTACTACACTGCAGCCCCACACAGACAACCGGATCTGTCTATGGTTCACACTGGGGAAAAATTCATTTCCTGTCCACATGTCTTCCTGAGCAATTCTTCTACTCAGAATCATCCATATTTATGTCTTCATAATCTTTTATTATCCCCTTTGTTTTAAGGGTATTTGAAACATCCTTGCCATTTCCTTTCTGAACTAAATAATAACCTGGGTTTAACTTTCACTTACAGTACGTTGTTTGTGACTCCTTAACTGTCCGTACTTATCAGCCAGGATTCTGGGAGATGATAAAGTTCGCCTGGGTCCAGTACGTCAGTATCCTGCTTATCTTCCTCTGGGTGTTTGAGAGAATCAAAATATTCGTATTTCAGAATCAGGTGGTGACCACAGTCCCCGTAGCAGCAGTGGCCCAGGGACATACATGTAAGGAACACTTATCATGAGAGGACCTGTACTGAAGACCCGCAGGCCCTTGGCCACCTGGCTCCTGTCTTCTGAGAACCGCCATCGGACAGGCTTCCGAGAAGGGCCCAGTGGACACCTGCAGCTTGTGTGTTTCCCCCCTCAGAGACAAAGAGCCATTCTTTCCCATTTTGCTCTACGCTAACTCCGTATCTGCCGAGTACCTGCGGAATCATCAGGACTAGTTTGTGGAAGGTCTGAGAGTTCCTACAAGCTGTAGTTGGTTTTTGCTTCCTCTTGTTTTTGTTTTCTGCCTTACACTTGAATTCTAGGAGACAATTAGAATCAATTTAGACGACTTGGAGACTGTCTCCTCTGGTCAAGCAAAACCTTTTCCTGTCTGGAACTGAGCAGCGCTATGCATCTCTTCCCGGGACTGTCAACCACGTTTTACTCTTTTCAGTACTCTCTTGTGATAGATATGCAGATCACTAGCACTTTCCACCCATGCAGAGCTTTGAATTCCAGGATGGAGGCCTTCAGCTGGAGGACCGAAGCGAGCAGGACACAAGCACCAGAGCCGCTGGAGCATGTGCGCGTGAGGCTAGGAGGCTTCAGGACACCAAGACTGTCCACCTGGCCTCAGTCTAACACAGTCGCCTGTCATGAGCTCTGCTGGACGGCCTTTCTCCCCGTGCCACTGTGGCTGGCTCCGTGCCCTGCCTTTTGCCCTGTCTGCGCCCCTGGAACGGCAGGCTGAAGTCAGAGTGCTGCTTATTCACTCCCCCAGCACGAGTGGGGGAAGTGAGGATGGTCACAACAGGTTCTTTCTCTCTGGCCCTCACCCAACAGCCTGGACACTCGCCACTGCTCCTCCTCGACAGCCCTCCCCCTTCTGAAAAGGACACGAGTGACAGAGGAGCTGTTGTTGGCGTTGGCTCCCACTGCCTGACGACTGTGCAGTTTATTTGGAAAGCTAGCGGGAAGCCCAGCTACTTGCATTTCCCTTGTCTAAGGAACAGGGTGCCCATCAGAGCAGGCAGCTTTTCTTTCTTTCTTTCTTTTTTTTTTTTTTAAAGCGATTTTTGCCTCAGGGCACGTGCGCTTGCTTGCTGGAGAGAGACAAAGATGAGACAGTTAGAAGGAAAGTGAGAAATCCTCCAGGGGAGATGGCTGCCGCAGTCCTTTCCCCATTCTCCTTCTGGGATCTTGGGCATGCACATACATGCACACGCACACACATACCTGGTGTGAGTTTCAAGCCACCAGGTCCAGGACTCAAACTGATTGACCATGTGGGAGTCCAGCAACGTAAGTACTACGCCATTTGCTGGCCCCAGATCAAGCAGCTTTGGGGAACACATCAGGATCAGCAAGGGAGTACAGAGGCTGCTTGTCCAGGTGGTCCAGGCCAGCCTGGCCATTAGCAGAATGACGGGGAGACCAGCCAGATTACCCTCAGGCTTAGCAAATGTCTTCAAGAGACGAGACTGCTGGGATGGGCCTCGGTTGCACACAGAGAGACTGATTATTCACTCTGCCAAAGACAGGTAGATGTGCTTTCTGGTCCCACGCATGTCAGTGGCACTGGAAGAACCTACCCCTCGGATCCTTGCCTCCTACTAACCCACAAGTGTACCTCCGGTGTGTGCCTCAGTTTACCTCTGATTCAGGTCTTGTTTCCAAAGCATCTTTTGTTTCAGGCTGACCAAAGTAAGAGTTTTGGAAACATAGTTGTTTTGAAGTATTCAAGCAGAAAAATTATCTAACACTGACCCCTCCCATCACCACCTCACCCCTTCTTTTAATATTTAGGGTATTTATATGTTTAATTTTTTTCTTGTGATTTTAAATGAAAACTGGTTTCTGGTTTTATTCACAAAAAGTAATGAGATACAGAAAAGATGGCGGAAGGTACATATAAATGTGGCTTTGCATTTTATTAAATTGTAATCCAAAATTTGTATAAAGAATACATGATGTTTTGTAACTTTGTAATTAAATGTTCAAAATGGAAAGTTGCCTGTGGCTTTTTTAGAGGGAAAAGGTTTGCAGGGGGAAGAAAGGGAGGGCAGAGGTTGCACACACCTCTCCGAGTTACTCACCAGCGGCCTTGCTTTGCCAAGATTCCACCCAGACCTTGGGGCTTTTGTTAGCTCCTTGGCAAAAGTTCCCTGGTCCAGCCCCAAGTAAATGTGAGTTTTTGGTAGCATCTACATGTGAAAACCACAGGCTGGAAAATTACAACTGTGTCTGGTGTCAGATTATTTACAGATCAGAACTTAGTAGTTTCAGTGCCTGAATCATAGTCCATTTCCGAGAGAGAAAAGGTGAGAAATATACTTTATCAAGTATGCTGTAGGCCATAGCTGAGGCAAGCTTCAAAATGATCACTCAGTATAAGATGGGGGAGGAAGCGAAGATTCCTAATTTTGTGGAATGATTAGGCTAGTTTCGGTTTGAATCAGATAAGGCCCCTAATGCCTTACTTAGGTCTCGTCACTTAAGGTTAGTAAAACAATCCCTCCTTCCATCTCCCCTCCTTTCCCCTTTCTAGCTTTTCCCCCCATAATGCTTTTTTTTTTTTTTTTAATTTAACTTTATTTTAATTTGACCAGAGAGGGACAGAGAGAGGGAGAGGGAACAAGAAAGCAAGCTGCCAGGTCCAGGATTGAAACCATGGGTCTGCCACAGTCCAGCATCCCCAACCACCACACCACCTGCCAGACCCCCCATAATGCTTTTTGATAGAGGTTTTATGTCCTGAGTAGGTGAGTTCTGAATGCCTCCTGGGGAAAATGTGTGAATTACACAAATCTAAAGGGAACAACTGTCTGTAAATGCACTACCTACAAGCAGGTATCTTGCTAATCTTTGGTGTTCCTTCTCAGTTTTTGCTACCAAAAACAGCACTTCTATTGAAACTTGTATAAATCCTTGGCGTTGGTTTATTTCCTTAAGATAGATCCTCAAAAGGGAGCGCTAATTCCGAAAGCTTATGATAATTGCTAAGGATCTACATTCAGCTTGCCAAACCACATCCAGGAAAGACCGCGCTAATTCCTACTCCCGGCAGCAGGGACCTCCTGTTTCAGCTCCCACCGCCCGTGACACGACCTCAGAACGCTCTGTCTTTTTCAGATGCCTGGGCTCTGCCCTGTTATTTCTCAGGGGGAAATAGCAATTGTATTTGCCCTATCCGGTATTTATCCGGACCTGCTATCAAGTCTGTGCCTCTGGGTTGAGACTAGGGGACCTGTGGAGTGGGACAGCTTCTGGCTGGCTCCTGAAGATGGCCTGGTCTCCCAGGTCCCCCAGCATCGAGGTGTCTGATATCTTAGGGCCGAGACTGGGCACGTGGGAAGCGGTTTGGATTCCAGGTCATTTCGCTGCGAGGATGCCACCGAGACGAGGGGGCAAGATGAAGATTGTGTTTCCTTCACAAGAGCCTTTTGTCCTCGCCAGAGCCTCTCTTGTCTGGGAACTGGAGGGGAGACAACTTTTTTTGCCAGTTCATGAGATGAGGGGTAACTTGCAAGCGCCCTTTGACATCCTCGGCCAAACGGGGTGCATCCCCCCACCCCCGCGGTCCCCAGCCCACCTGTGCCCTGCCTGACAGCTGGGGGCCAACCCGCTCCTTCCTTCCCTGCCGGCGGACAGCATCACTCTGAAAGCTGCTCATTGTGCTGCGGGCGGGCAGCGCCGGAGCAGAGCCGGGCGCGGGCGGCTGCGCAGGTAGAGCCGGGCGCCGGGCGCAGAGCGCGGGGCGGGTTGGGGCCCCGACCCCGGGTCAGGAGGGTCGGAGTCTCGTGTCGTGGCCCTAGGATACCTCTCACCGACAGCCCATTCTTTCCGTTTTCTTTCCACCCCCTGGGACTCCGACCCTGTGTCCAGATTGGCTCTGCTCGGACTTTAGGTAGCCAGTAGCATGGGGCCCACTGACTCCCGCCCGTGCCTCTTTTAGAGCCCCCTGCCCAGATCCGGCAGCGCCTTCACTGGGACCCTAAGAAGCAAATCAGCCCGCGCCGACTGCCCCAGTGAGACACGGAGCTGCTGTGGCTGCACCTTGAAAGGGACGACGTCTGAGCCTCCGCTGAGCCCCGGGACAGAGGTGCCTCCCTCCGTGTCGCGCCAAGTCGGCCAGAGACGCCGAGCTTTGGGGTGCGTGGGTTCATCCGCTCCCCACGCGGAATGTCGCCACTGGGGGGCAGACTTGGGGCTGGACCAGAGGCACAGCTGGGAGGTTCGGAGCTGGCAGAAAGGGCTGAGGGCTGAGGCTGGCTGTTCTATCGGTGACGTGGGAAGGCCACCAGCCGCGGGCAGCGCTGCTTTGACAGTGTCTCCTAGGGCTTCAGCTGCAGACCGGATTGCTGTGGGGGAGCTGGGGGGAAGGGGAAGGCGATGACAGGGTGGGGCGAGGGGATGACTTCTCTCTTGAAACCTCAGATTTAAAAAGCCCTGAGCGCTGCAAGGGCTTTGTCTGCAGAACCTTTATTATTTGTTTTTAAGTTCGTTTATTTCTTCCATGAGAGAGAGACAGAAAACACCCCAGTCTTCAGCCAGCCCCAGTCATAGGCAAACCTGTACCCTGCATCATCAGGGAGATCCCTGGGCTTGAACCAGTGACCTTCCCATGCGGGATCACCCTACAGAGCAGTACATGCCACCTTCGTACCATCTTCTCTCCCAAGATGGCCATTTTTGAGAATGGGAAAACTGAGGCCGGAAGCAGAGAGGACTTGGCTGCCCAGAGCTGTGAGTGAGTTGGGCAAACACCCGGGAGCCTGAGCACGGTGAGCTGCCTGGTGGGCCTCGGCTCACCTCCTGCCAGCCCAGGTGGCAGGTGCTGCTGTAGCCTCTTTTTACAGAGAGGCCAACTGAGGCACACAGCGGTTAAGGGTGACTTGTTCAAAGTCACACACCTCTCTGGTAGTAGGGACAGGATTTGAACCCGGTCTGGCCTCAGAAGCCAGGCTTCTGTTACGTAGGTACCTGTGCTGCCCCTGGCTACAGCACTCAGGCCACCTGAATCTGGTAGAGCCTTGGCTTATCTTATGAAGAGACGTTCCCTCAGATTCTTAGGATGTAATTCTGACCCAGCATTTGGAAGATTCCCAGACAAATATCTCTAAGATGCCAAGCATAAACAGGTACCATTGTTCTAAGTGTATATATTATCTCATTCAGACTTCAAATCATATTTTTTTCTATATCATTTTCATTTCATAGAATAAAAAAAAAAAAAAACAGTCACAGAGGGTTCAAGTCACTTGCCCAAGATCAGAGAGTAAATGGTCAGGCTGAGTCACACTCTTAACTGCTGTGCTTTGTACCTGCTCCTTTTTCTTTTTTCCTTTTTGAGAGGTTTTTGCTATAGGGCAGGTGCGCTCACCAGAAAGACAGAGAGAGACAGAGAGACAGAAAGCGAGAAATCACCCCCCAGGGGGGATGGCCACGCCTCAGTCCCTTCTCCTCCATTCTCCTCTCGGGATCTTGGGCACGCACGCACACGCGCCCGGCATGAGTTTAAGCTGCCGGGTCCAGGACTCGGACCGCAGTCAACTACATGGGAGTCCAGCAACAGAGCCATTACGCTAACTGCAGGTCCCTGTACCTGCTCCTCAAATGAGACAGACAGGGCCCTGCTTCAAGGCTCTTGGCAGGAGATGGGTGCAGAAATACATGGACGAGAGTATTCTGGGTGGTGGTAGTGAGTGAGACTTCTTAGTCCATATTGAAATTTCTCTAATTATTTCCAAGAAAGCATTTTGCAGCTTGTTCGTTCAAATCAGAATCCAAAGTCCACACATCGCATCGGGCTGTTGTATGTTTTGAGTTGTTTTCTTCTAAAATACTCCTATTTTATCCTTTTTTATGCTATCGACGTGTAAGAACTATCTACTATTTTTTTAAGAATTATTTTATTTAACATTTATTTATTTATTTTAATTTGACCAGAGAGGGACAGAGTGAGAGAACCAGAGAGAGAGAGAGAGAGAAAGCGAGAAAGCAAGCCACTAGGCCCAGGACTCCATCCATGGTCCGC